CCCGAGATGTCACCTTACAAGACAAAACACATAAGCCCAAATGCGATGCAGACTTATTTAATGCGGAGGAATGAGGAGCGCTATTTTTACGTTTCAAAGAATAACACTTAGAAAGTACATGTTAGCGTTTTTTACAATACCCGCACACAGGAACAAAATCTTTTCGAGTCTCTCGTTTATCCTCAATAACCCTAGGCTCAGCTACAGTATCTTTAAAAGTCCTGCAATCCTTTTGGAAACCTTTACCGCTGCTGTGAAACTGTGGAGGACAAGAGCTCGCGCCTTTATAGGCAAGCACATATTCATCAGCCAGCACCTCTGCCCGAGATGGTTTTAAATCTTTATGCTCACTAATGTAAGTAGTGTTATGCCCAGAGACCAGGGAAGAGCCAGATCCATGAATGCAAAGCGAGTGCTGTTTATGGAAATGCTCAGGTACACCAATAGCCAGTGGGTCGTTAGCCAGAAGGGTCAGTCCTACGTGGATGGACGAGACGAGGCAACAAGAGGATGAGAAGGACGAGGAGGGTGGATCGGGGAGGTAGGACGATGAGGGCAAACAGGGAAGGCGGGGTCAGCGAGAAAGGCAGGGCAAGCGAGACGGTAGGGCAAGGCAAGCGGGAGAGACGAGAGACAAGAAAATGCTCAGTAAGGCACATGAACATGGCAACAATACTTCGCAAAGTACTGTGGGTTATCTCTGTTTAAATACTGGAGTGATTAGGCGGTAATCGCCTGTTGCCCCGCTCCGTTGGGCGTGACAGTACCCCCCCCCGATGGGCGGCCAGGATGGGTGCCGTCGATGGAAATCTGTGATCATGAAGGGATCCAAAATGTCCGAGCCCGCCACCCAGGACTGCTGTTCTGGGCCAAAGCCGTCCCAGTCCACCATGTATTGCAACGTGCCCGCATGTCGACGGGAGTCAAGAATTACCAGAACTTGGTAGACCCTGGAACCGTCCTGCAAGGTGTGAGGCAGAGGAACTGCTGCCTCAGTAGAGGGGTGAGCTAGGCTGTACCGTACAGGTTTAAGTAGCGAGACATGAAACGTGGGACAGATTCGGTACACCTTGGGCAACTGGAGCCAGAACGTGTTAGGTCCCACCTAATGTTGGATCTTGAGGGGTCCTATATACCGGGCTGACAGTTTCCGGCAGGACGCGGGTTTATCCTTTATCCTTGCAGAGAAGCCGTAGAATTTTGGTCACCTCTTGATCCGTTGGTCTGTTCAGCCAGGCCGTTGGATTGAGGATGATATGCAGAAGAAAGACTTAGACGTGGGAGGCGAACTTGGGGCCTCGATCGGAGATGATGTCTTCCGGAAGGCCATAGTACCGGAAGATCCAGGTAATAAGGATCTCAGCAAGGTCAGCGGCGTTAGGGAGCTTGGGGAGTGCGATGAGCTGACACATCTTAGAGAATCTATCCACTATGGTTAATATGGTGGTGTTACCTTGAGAGGCATTTATGGTCCAGCTCGACAGAAAGCCCAGTGTAATCTTCGAACGATAGTCCGGACCCGCGACACGTCAGTTTATCTTGAACTTCCCGGTTCAGAGCGCATCGGTACATTATGCGGAGGCAGTCCTCCGGCCAGCGGAGCCCCGCTGCGAGAGTCCGGAACTCTAAGGCGAATTCAGCGACTGTGCGGTTTCCCTGCTTTAAGTCGAAAAGCCGCTCTCCCTGGCTGCGTCCGACGGCGGGGTGATCGAAGATCCCTTTAAAGGCTTGCTGGAAATCACGCGCCGAATCGAGGAGCGGGCTGTCGTCAATCCAAAGAGCTGATGCCCAGTCGCGAGCCCGGCCAGTAAGCAGCAATATTACAAAACGCACCCGGGCCGTCTCTTCTGTGAAGCGTTCGGGGTGCTCCTCGATGGACAGCCCGCATTGCATTAAGAATGCTTGACAGTGATCCGGGTTGCCGTCATACTTCTCGGGCATCGCTACGTGAACTGAGGCGGCTGCTCAGGGAGGCGAAGCCGGTAGAGTCGCCTTGGACGCTCGCTCCCCCAGGAGCTGGGTGATGAGCATGGTAAGTTGATCTACCTGTTGCTGCAGCCGTGAATGCTCCGCGGGGTCCATGGTGTACAGGCAAAGTATTCTGTTATGCCCAGAGACCAGGGAAGAGCCAGACCCCTGAATGCGGAGCGAGCGCTGTTTATTGAAATGCTCGGGTACACCAATAGCCAATAGGGAAATCCAAAAGAAGTGTCGAGTCCGGGTCCGTGGGATCGTTAGTCAGAATGATAATAATGGATAATCTTTACTTTTCTTACCCTAACTGCTTAGAGGACCTTCAAAGCTTTTCTCTGTTTCCTGTCCTTTTGCTTGTCAATGTTCTCCTTCTTCAGATGATAATGATTTTGGTGTCTGTCATAAGAAGACAGACACAAGTGCAGGGCTGATTTCCATTTTGGAGTCCGTTTTCCCCATTGCCTTTATGTGGGACTTGATAATGGCTAAAGCTTCGTATGTCTCAGTGTTCAGCCTGACCCTATCATTCTCAATTATGTTGTCCATGATGTTAAATGATCCATCAACAAGGGGGCCAGTGAACAATGACAGAAAAGCTTTTACCAGCTTCCCTAAGATGGGGAATCTCATGAAGGGTGTAGATTTGGGTATGGACAGTAGGGACATGTCCCTGTCACAGCAGGACACGGCGCAGACGGAGAAAAGGTGATAATCCACTTGCGACAAAAACTGAACGACACAGAAAAGGCACAAAATAAAGGGATCATTGACAGAGCATTGTCACCAATGGCTGAGGTGCATAGTAAGTTACCAACGTTCTATTGACTCAATAACTGCAGTGACCCCAATACAAAAACTCTGCATTGGGAGCTTCATGGGATGGGCTTCCATGGTTGAGCAGCTTCATCAAGCCTCACATCACCAAGCGCAATGCCAAGCATGAGATGGAGTGGTGTAAAGCATGCTGCTGCTGGACTCTGAAACAGTGGAAATGTGTTCTGTGGAGTGACAAATCACACTTCTCTGTCTGGCAGTCTGATGTGTGAGTCTGGGTTTAGCAGATGCCAGGAGAATGTTACCTGCCTGACTACATTGTTCCAGCTATAAAGTTTGGTGGAGGAATGATAATGGTATGCTGTTGTTTTTCAGCAATTAGGCCTGCCAGTTCCAGTGAAGAGAACTCTTAATGCTTCAGCAAACCAAGACATTTTGTACAATTCTATGCTTCCAACTTTGTGTGTACAAATAACATTGTGTGTTACAAGCTATGAAACATACTCATTAAAATTAAAGGCAAATTCATAACAAAAAAACTACCTCCTGGTGACCCTCACGCAACTTGTCGTGACAGGGGTTGCTCTGTGCTGTTTTGACTCAAACCTATCAGACAGATCATTTCCAGTGGTCTGGAGTGCAGAGGTGTTCAAATCTCATCATGTAATAACTGGTGTTCCCCAAGGCTCAGTCTTTGGTCCCCTCTTCTTCTCTCTTTACATTGACTCTCCAGGCCGCTTGAATCTGAGTGACATTGCAACCTACAATCACCTCCAGCTTAATCTCTTCAAGACTGAGCTTCTTGTCTTCCCTGCTAGCCCTACCATGGCATCACTGTTCAGTTTGGATCATCCTTCAGGGACAGGCAGGAACCTAGTGGTAATGATAGACAATCAGCTGTCATTTGCTGAGCACAGAACATCACTCTCCTGATCTTGCAGGTTTCCCCTGTATAACATCAGGAGGATCTTTTCTGTCTCAGTATGCAGCTCAGCTCAGCTAATCTAGGCATCTGTTACCTCATAACTGAACTATTGAAACTACACTACTAGCAGATCTACCAGCTTGTGCTATCAGACCACTGCAGGTGATTCAAAACTCAGCAACAGGTCTGATATTCTTCCAGCCTAAACATTGTCATGTCTCATCCTTCCTTGTCTCTCTTTACTGACTCCCTATTGGTGCTTGCATTAAGTTCACATCCTTGGTGCTGACTTACAGCTTACAGGTCCATCAAAGGACAGGCACCCATCTCCATCAAAAGGATCCTCAAGATGCCCCATTTAACGCCCTTCGGTCAGAATGAACGTGTGGCTCCCTGCTCCATATGAGAAGTGTCACTTCAGGTGGTTCTGTTGTGTGGTTCGCTGGTGGTGGAATGAGCTGCTAAACCAAGTCTGGTCATCAGACTTCCTCTCCACTCTCAAGAAATGCCTCAAGACTTTCAATTCCATTAATTTCTCTACTAATCTGGTCCTTGTTCCCTCTTCATGTTCCCTGAATGTAATTAAGTTGTGCTTCTGGTCATTGAATAGTCTTATTAGGTTCTTGCTTAGTCAGTAGTTGTTGTGTAGCTCATGCTCCAGTACTACATTTGTACTTGGGTATTCATTGGATACATTTGCAATGTGCTATTTGCCTCACTTGTATGTCAATTTGTACAAAAGTGTCTTCTAAATGTATAAAATGTTAATGAACTTAACCTACACCACTTGCACCACAGTGTTTTGGGCTGGTTTCAGGCTATACTTTGGGAAGATATATATATATATATTTTGGGAAGAACCTGGCCTGGAAATTTAGTGTGGTAACTAATACAGAAAGGAGAAGACAGTGCAAAGATATGTCCCATGGATATCACCCAGTGTTCCAGTGAAATTAATGCCACTGCCCTCTGTTAATTCCCTTTCAATGAGTATTATCATGTGTTCACTCTCAGGATCGACTTACATTATCAGTTTCACTGTATACAGTGCTCTGATAAAAAAAGCTAGTCTCATAACTGTGTCTGGTGTAGGAGAGACAGCTGTTGGGGAAGGGAGAGGAAAGCAGGGGGTGCTGTAGGATATAGTCTGCAGTTTGCCCCCCCTCCCCACCAGGCCGCAGCTGGTACAGGGGGGTCCCCACGGGACCCTGTGCATGACAAGGCTTCAGAAATGCACGTCTTCAAAGGGGAACTCTAGCTATCAGAAATACTCAGCTTTGTTCAGAGACATGATGTCCTCGGGGGATTGTTCCACATGCATCACAAGCAGAGATGAGGTGCTTTATTTATAGAGATGTGCATTTCAATATTGTGTCATTTGCATTACAGTTTTTCTCACTTTATGCATGTAGTACAATACTACGGTTTAACTGCAAAAGCCTGTAACTTACCCAAAACAATTAAGTCATGTCTCAAAAGCAAATAATTCCACCAGTGAATTAGTCAGTCCCACCAAAATGAAAAGTGCAACCAGTATTGTTTTAACCATGAGAGTCAAAATGCTGAGATGTTGAGATGTTGATGTCGTCAAAATATCCTGTAATTATTCTGATGAAATAAGGGTCACAACGGTGGACCATGTCCTCAAAAATAGTCTTACAGTAACCGAGGCTGATCGAAGGGTGCAACTGAATTTTGGCAGAACAACTGTGTCCTCAATCATTCACACATAAAGCAGATATTTAATTGAACAATGTGCACTGTACTGTAATATTATATGCTTGTTGTAATGCTTCATATTACATTATTCCACTTGCATTTACAGCATACAGTAAATATACTTTATAGTTACTGTACATATAACACACAAATATGTATACATACATGCAGTATTTATATATACACTGTATGTATGTATACATACTGTATGTGTGTTATAGTATACTGTTGCAGAAAAAACTGAGATCACAGCACAATCCTTTGTTTCACTCATTTCTCAATTTATGAGTGTGTGTCTGTGATAATATATATATTTCTGTAAACTTCGACACAGTTTTTCCCTGCTTATTAATGAAGGGCTTCTTCCTTGCTTTATGGGACTTGAGTTTTGCTTCTAGGAGCCTGATACAAACTGTCCTAGCAGTGCACTTCACACCTGCACTTAATGTTTCCCATTCCTTTCGAAGGTGACTTGATATCACACTACGATTCATGAGAAGTTAACGGACATCGCTGGCATTAGAAAATTGCTTCTGCCATTTACCTGGCTGGTTTCTGGTTGTTCCCAGTGTCTTGTTTCACCTTATTCTTGAGTACTGCTGTCTTATAAATTTTGAACCTAGAAGCTACCTGCTGCTCAGTTTAGCCTTGATGCCAGCAGAACCAGAATTAAACCAGGATTTAAAAATGCAGATTTGTTTAAAAACATAGAGTGGTCTCTCAATTTTGTCTGTGGCTGTATGTACAGTACATGTAACTTTGTACTGTTGAAACTGTTAAACGGCATACAGAATAAGTACAGTCTCGTTCATTTTCCATCATTATCATCAAAACCTTATCCATAGTTTACATCAGAAAATACTTGTACACAGTTACACTGACAACATGACTAAACAATTTGACTACATTGTTTTTAAACAATGACAAAAGATTTGTCATTCCAATAGTACTGACACGTTCACTGGCATGAATAATTACCGGTACTTTGATTTTGAGCAAGTTATGGGCTTTTGCAGGTTGTCCATTGTGGTGCTATTTGCATGAATTGTTTTGAGAAATGCACTTACTGATTTGCAAATATTAAGGATGATTTGTCTATGTTCCAAAGCATCTGAGAAAAAGTGCAACATTTGCAAAAAAAAAAAGAGTAATCACCACAGCATCGTATGTGATTCCCACAGTACATTATTTTGTTGCCATTTTATTGTTCTTGTATTACCATTTTGTTGTTTTCCCGTTATAGTGTTGTGTGATCAGTCACTGACAGTGAACCAACTACAGTGCTAAACAACTGTCATTCAGAATTGTGACGCTCAGGATCATACGTATACAATGTATCTAGGCATTTTGACTCTCATGGTTAAACAATGCTGACTGTACTTTTCATCTTGGTGGCACTGACCAATTAATTGGTGGAGATATTTGCTTTTGAGACATGCATCAATTGTTTTGGTTTTTTGCAGCTTAAACTTACTCTCGTGCTATATGCAGTTTTGAGAAATGCTGTTGTATTTACGTTTTATGAAACAGTCATGAAAAGCTGTAATGGATTTTTGAAATACACAGAAATGCAAGTGAGTGATATGTGACAAAGCAAATACCCTATCTATAATAATGCAGTATATAACAGGATTCATAGTGTCCAGTTTTAACAGATAAGCTGGTAATTGTACAGTAATACAGTTGTCTATAAAAGGTCATATTGAAATATATGCTTACATAAGGTGCTGACATGTTTGTGCGAGTGGCATACCGCTCTCCTCTCCTTTTTGCTAGCTTATTTTCACACAAAGGAAGAGCACAGGGCTTGTTTATGCATCTTCATTCTATGGTATGCTCTGCTTGGCTCCCCGTCATTAGGCAGTGGTTGTCAGTCATGTGACCCAGAGCGTTGGTGAGGAAGGTGGGTGGAGTGGGGGTGTAGGCTGGGGGGTCACATTCAGGGGGCTCACAGCTGGGTCCGGACCATGGCTCTGGCTTGGCTGTTCCGCTTGCCCCTAGTGGGCAGTCTACATATCCACCTGCCACAAAATCAATGCCCTGCGTGACTACATTGCCGTCCACTGGCAAGATGGCGAGAGGCGATGGAATCCTGATGTAGCCAGTGGCTAACTCCCTGAGGGAAAGCGCGAGCTGGGAGCCTAGGGAGACGGACCAGGACAGGGGGTCTTCGGTGCCGGGCTGAGCACCAGCATTGCCCAGGGAGCCCAGAGATTTTGACATGGTGGGACACAGCAGGTATGGCCCATTGAAGCTGACAGAGGAGTTCTCCTGCTGGCTTTTCTCCTCAGACTCTGAGTGTAGGCTGCTGAAGCTGTACCGGTCAGCATCTGAGTAACTAGGAGAGAAAGGCAGACCTGGTTCACAGCCGCATCATGGCTGGTGGTCTTCTTGTTTTTACACTTACTGCAAAGTTCAGCTCTTTTTGTGTGCATGTCGACAATAAGTAGTGAGAGCACAAGGAAACTGTGATGCTCACCTGGGAGGAGTGACGTTGTCCAGGACCTGGACGGAACAGATCCGGGCTCTCTCAACCTCCCTGTGGGGGGCTCTGGGACATGTGCTCTGGGACCTCTGTGAATGAGGGGGGGGGGGGGGCACAGATGTGACATCAGCTACACTTGTGATAGAAAGGTTGTGGGTTCGAATCCCCTGATGGGGCCTTTAATGTATCCATCTTGGTGTTAGTTATTTGTGTTGACAATAAATTTAAGAGCTTTAGAGGTGGTCCCTGTTGGTTTGGTCAAACTCCCCTCATTAAATATTAATATTAAATATTAAACAGAAGAAATATGACAAGGCAGTTTGCAGATTGAAAGGAGTAAGACTAGAAAGTCATATTTATGAAAAACAACAGAGAAAGAAAAATTGCAAGCAAGCCGAAGATGGGCAGGAGGAGGAAATACAGTTTGGTCACAATAGGACCTTTTAAAAGCTGTAGTGGATGGGATTACTGTTATCTGTCAATTAGAGGTTGACCTTATTTGCGTGGTAACTCTGATAGTAATGCAGAAAAGAGAAAACGGTGCAAAGATATGTCCCATGGATGTCACCCAGTGCTCCAGTGAAATTAACATCACTGCCTCCCTTAATAAGAATGTCATGTGTCCATTCCCAGGATGGATGTACATTGTCAGTTTTTTTTCAATAGGGGGTGGGACCGTGTTTTGATACAAAATGGCTTCATTATGCCCATGACCTTTAGGATTTGATTATTTGTGTGTGATTTGTTTGTTCCTTGCATCCTGTACTACAACACTACAGTAATTATTTGTAATTGTATAATTATTTGTGTGGAAAACAGTTACTGCCTGTGTCCATTTCAAACTGTTTAGTTAGATACAGGTGTGCCAGTTTCAGGAGGACATCTTGTTTCCTGTTTCATCTCTCGTTCATCTCATATGTTCACTCATTTTACAAGAATAACTCATAGACCGGTCAGTTCTCTGTGCAATCTGATGACACATTAATGCTGGAATGTCAAGATGAGGTGTGACATCATTCTGATGGGCGTCTCACATCATGAGTACAGCACAGACTGGAGAAGAAACCCACCTTTAAGATTCCTTCCAAAACTTTGCTCTTGATGGGAGAGGGAAGGGACACGTTCCAGCTGATTACCCTCCTGGGAGCATGAAAAACACCAAAAAAATAGGGTAACATTATCAAGGTTATTATTCTGTAATGTGGATGCATGTAGCATATGTCTAACATTACATGCAGTGTGTTGCTTACTGACAAATTAAAGTTCCTCATTCCAGGGGCAAACTGCAGCTTCCCTTTCTGGGAAATGAACGTGGCACTTTGCCCAAGTGCTGCCTTGAGTGTTAAGTATCACTAAAGACTGCTCACATCCCGGTCACTACCCGTTTGACCTGTTTCCCTCTGGCAGGCAGTACAGGTCAATTAAGACATAAACCACTAGGTTTAAAAACAGATTCCATCCAAGTGCTATATGTGAACTGAGTGCTATGACTCGCTGTCATCCATGACTCTAATCTGTGTCTGTGACAATCAGAGGCGGACGTTTCAGGTCCAGAAAGTAAAAATCCAAACCAGGGTTTTGTTTCAACCAAGCAGTTGAATATAAAAAGTCAACTGGTTGGCTGAAACAAAATCCTGGTTTGGATTTTTACTTTCTGGACCTGAAATGGCCGCATCTGGTGACAATGCAGTGTATGTTATATCCTAAAGTGCAATATTAACTGTATGGTTCACACCTCAAGCTACTATACGCAAATATATATCTTATATACCCACATGTCCCTATTAAGCTGCTTTATTTGATTTAATTTTAAGACTTTTTCTATTTATTGTGTGTTGCCATGGTTGTTGGCCGAGTTTGCACTAATCAGGACTCGCACTTTTTGAATTTCACTGTACATTGTGCAATAACAATAATTCTGTTCTATTCTATTTTAAAATATGAACACAAGCTATAGCAGTAATGGTTACCTGCGGAAAACAGGAAGGCTCACATACAGACCGATGAAGACTATGGTCACAAGCCCCGCAACGAAGATGTACACGATCATGGGCCATGACCATGAACCTAGAAGCACAGCAAGGATTTACACAAAGAGATTCTGCTTTGAATCCAAAGGTTTCTGTATGGGCAGTAAGATCCCGATGGTGGCAATCGGAGGTGTGACTTTACCTGGAGGGATGACCCACTCCACCGGTTCCGTCCACTCGGAGGGTCGGCCCGTGAAGTATGCAGCGGGCACTGCTCGCACCTGTGCCCGGTAGCGGGTAGCAGGGCGCAGGGTGGCTCCATTAATGTGGTAAGAGTGGATGCCCACAGAGAAGTTCAAATATTTGTGGTCCTAGTGTCAGACACAGGGAGTGAAGAGGAAGACGAGGATGAAGATCACCGCCCTCAGAATTCACGGCAATTTAAAGGCAGAGCAAACAGGTGACTGAGGATAAGTATAATCTGATAGCTGATCTTGAGCTCAATCCTGCGAACATGCTGATGATGCACAGGTCTCTTCCCTTACCGTTGTTTCAGAGTCCCAGTAGTGCAGCTCGTGAGATAGTTTAATTTTGTCGTTGTATTTCGGGATGGTCCAGGTGAGCAGCCAGTCCTTGCCATCCTTTCTCAAGTGCACAGGGCTCGGAGGGAAGGGATAAACTGTGTGGGAGACAGACACTTACGCCAAGCACACGGCCCAGTGACACCGCACTGAGGAATTAGCATTGTTGCCTGCTGTGCCATTTTTGGCCACAAGATGGCAGCACCATCATAAGCTGTGGAACATGCCATACCAATGGGTCATTTTACATTGTCTACTGCTATAATGTAGAGACCTTGCTGTGCAGACAGAGGAGGAACTGATAATGGTGTCCACTCATCCTGACCCATGTGAAGTGACGTATCCTTTTCCGAAAGTTGCCACTTCACTACTAAAGAAAAAATTGCAATAGCGAACGAGCGGTTAGGAGTGGAGGAAGAGGGAGGACTTACTGTAACTGTGAGAGTGAAACTGCTTGGTAATGTGGGCAGGAGTGAGCTCAACCCAGAGTTCCTCATCTACAGGCAGGGAAAAGGAACAGCTGAACTGGAGCACGGGGTTACGGGAGTCACTGGTAACCAGGACTGTCTCACAACACCTCTGGGGTCTATGGGGGGGGAGAGAGGGTGTGAGAAGGATGCATGAGACTGGGCTGAACCCACAGGGCTTCAGTCTCGCACCAGCACCAGGTAATCCAGGGATTAGGAACGCCACAATGTAAAGTGGTGGTTAGACTCTAGAGGATAGTGCTGTTGTACCCTTGATTGGTGGGACAGTCCCAGTGTGAACATTGGGCACTCACTGTGTGCTCCGGCTCGTGCGGTACGACAGGTAGTAAGTGACGGACTGAGCAGACTCCCTCTTCAGCTCCCAGCTGCAGCTCACAGTCACGTCTCCATCAGACAGACACTGCAGGTTGGAAGGGCCTTCAGGCCCCAGGGCTGAAGGGGGGGAAGAGAGTAAACAGACCTCAGCTCTTGTGGCTCTCCATCTAACCGGCCGTCACAATGGCTGTACGAGGTCAGCCTTCCTCCTTACTGCCGAATGCAGTAAAGCATGCAGTGTGGACCTCAGCTACATCACACCAAAGAGGGGATGCTGAGTGTAGGGCAGCTGGCCATCTGCTTGCTTATGGATATTCAATTAAGCAATTTAGCATGGGGGGGGGGGATTTGCTGATGCATGCTTGACACTCACCCTCCTCAGTCTGCCACTGCACTGGGGGGCTCCAGTCGCTCCATAGGCCGGCTCCCGCCCGTGCCCTCACCCTGGCCTCATACTCGCTGTCGGGTACCAGCCACTCCTTACTGATTGTCGTATTCGTTTGTGAAACGTCCAGCACCTGCGGAACAATGAATAGAAGGACCACATGAAAGCCAACATATCACACTTCACAGACGCCTGCCTCCTGGGAATTTGCGTATTGCTATTGGTGGAATGAGGCCTTCTAATCCATGGTGGCTGGGTTACTTTTACGGGTGGGCGGGGCCAGTCAGTGATCGACAGCTCACATCTATCATGGGTTTCGAGGCCACTTGCCTGAAGTCAGACTCATGTTGGTAGACTGAGTGAAACATACCATCCAGTCGTGGCCGGGCCTCCTATAGCTGACCTCGTACCTCAGCGTGGGGTACAGGGGTGACCCCGAGGGCAAGGGGGTGTGCCAGGACAGCAACCTGCTGCCATTGTGCAAGGCTTGCTGGAACAGAGCTGGGGGCGAGCGAACTTTCACTGCGAAAAGGGAACGTCACAATCAAACCCAGTCACTCTCCTTCATGGCCTGCAGACACGATTAAATCACGTTTTCACATTATCTCAGGATTGATAAGTATGCTGTTTTAGTGGGTATTTGGGGGAGAGGGTTCCCATGACAACATCGGAATGGGGGGCATGGCAACCACACTGACCGTGTTGCGACAGGTTCATTGTCTTGGACACCTGTGGGGGGAGCGGGGTCTTGAAGAAGAATCCATGCTGGATGCTCTTGACAAACAGGGTGGTGTTGTAGCGACACCACCTTTCTGTATGGGGGCCTTCAGGAGGGCTGTAAGCCACACAGGGCAATTCCCTGGTAAGGGTGGAGCGGGGGGGGGGGGGCATTACTCTGAGGCCCATGGCATGGAGGAGGCTGCAGCACTGAGGGCGGACAGGGTTACCCCAAACTCTTTGTCATAGGCATCTCATAACAATCCTGTCCACCTTGGGATTTGCACCCCCATTTTGCAACATACATAGGTCATCCATCCATCCATTGGCCCATCCATCCATCCACTTATCCTGATCAGGGTCTTTAGCTTTCCCCCATTCTTATCAGCCATTGCTGCACCTAGCTGTGCAGTGCATGCTGTGCCTGATTGGGTCGCTGCTCTGCTGCGCTCTGCTGCACACTTGGGTTGTCAAGATTACCGTTCAGCACCACTACAGCTGCTTCACATTGCTCTGCTTCACGTCCTGATTCCTAACCCCATGTTATCTTCCCTTTCTCCTGTCCTCCATTCCCCATTATTCCATGTTTGTCAGTCCTGCTCACTGTAATTTGAACACCAACCCAGTAGGTGGCATATTAGTTAAGGTACAGTATTTGGCATTAATTCATTCTGTCATACATCCATCCATCCATACAAATCCATACAATCCAGAACATTCATCTGCCATCACACCTGCCCTCGGCGTCACTGTGGTAGAGAGAGAGATTCTCCAGCTGGTGTTCCTCCGTGCTTTCTGGCCATGTACAGCGAATGTGCGAGCTGTAGTCATTGTAGCACTGGACCCAGTCTACCAGGGAGGAAACTGGACATGGGAAGGAAGATTGGAATGTTTAGAAGAGCTGCCTGACACTTCCTCCCCATTCCGGCTTAGCTCAGAGTTAGGGTGCCGTCCTTACCGTGCTGTGAGCTGGCATTGAGCTTACAGGACATAGATGTAGGCGTCAAGGCCAGGATGGGGGGGGCAGCAATGCACAGCATCCACACGAGAAACATCCTTCCTACAGCGAAGGGAGGGGCAGCCTCAGGTCTGCAGGCACACCGCTGGCCTCGCTCACTCTGCTCAAAGAGATGAGGAACAGGAGAAGGGTTCTGAGGGCTAAGTGGCAGGTTATAGCGCCTCTGAGCGCTGTGGCAAGCGAGATGGCTCGAACAGATATGCAGAGCGGCGTAATGTTGACAGCGTTGTCAGCACATTCAGCAGCAAGCCGCCGAGCTCATAACACATACGCACTTAGGATTTCTGGGTTGGTGCAAAATGTTTTCTCACAGCTTTCTTACCTGGAGAGGTACTAACTGGGCGCTAACCTTGCCCAATTTATTCAGCTGGCTCTTTTATGAAAATGAAAAAGGCTTTATCACCAGCCCAACCTATTTCTTCGGGAATTTCTGTGGTGATTGAATTAAACAATTTAGGTTGGACACCTACGTCAAAGTAGCTGTGTCCCTTTGACATCTAAACCCATCCATAGCTCTAAACTCTAGCTGCTTAAAAACTTTGCATAGACATGTAAGCAGGCAGAGATGCTGCTAGAAGGACATGGATAGAGCAATACAGCTCACCTATCCGGTTTGGCCAACAATACATCCATTAGACTCTATAACACCACAGTCAACTGAAGACCATTAAATTCTCCATCTGAATGTCCATCACCCATGAATGCAATATCCGCTGCAAATACAGTGGAGGAAATAATTATTTGACCCCTCGCTGATTTTGTAAGTTTGTCCAATGACAAAGAAATGAGAAGTCTCAGAACAGTATCATTTCAATGGTAGGTTTATTTTAACAGTGACAGATAGCACATGTGGTCGAAACCTTAGTGATTTAGAGATGATCTGCAAAGAGGAGTGGACCAAAATTCCTCCTAAAATGTGTGCAAACTTGGTCATCAATTAGAAGAAACGTTTCACCTCTGTGCTTGCAAACAAGGGTTTTGCCACTAAGTATTGTCTTTTTTGTAAGAGGGTTCAAATACTTATTTCACTCAATGAAATGCAAATCAGTTTCTATCTTTTATTTAAAGCTATTTTTTCAGTTTTCCTTTTAATGTGCTATCTGTCATTGAAATGATACTGTTCTGAGACTTTTCATTCCTTTTCATTGGACAAACTTACAAAATCAGCGAGGGGTCAAATAATTATTTCCTCCACTGTACATTTGTAATTTCTATTCATATCCACAGGGTGCAATATTTATTTTTGTATCCACAGTCAACTGAAGTTTCTGCTCTGTACCATTGTTTGTCAGGGATCCGGGCGGCTCGGGAACGGGAACGAGGCCTAGTGCAGGCACAGAAAAAGGGTGGACGACCCACTTGCGGCTCAAGGAACAGAAAAGGGGTTTATTAAACAAAACAAAAAAAACTCCTGCTAGTCAAACGGCAGAGGTGGACATTTCAGGTCCGGAAAGTAAAAATCCAGACCAGGATTTTGTTTCAACCAACCTGCTGAGTATAAAGATTCACAGCCATATAGTACTCAGCTGGTTGGTTGAAACAAAATCCTGGTTTGGATTTTTACTTTCTGGACCTGAAATGTCCACCTCTGTCAAACGGGGAAGGGGCACGGAAGGACCACAGCAGGGGCTGACCCTGACAATTGTTAGGTTTTGACTTAATTACATATGAATGTTTGCTAAATCATTGCAATATCCACTGTATTTCTGAAATAAGTGTAATTGTGTACATGGTACACTCTCAGAAAAGTGTACCCTTGTAATTTTACCTTTTAAGGTACAGCAATGGACTCTGAGAAACATCCCAAAGGTACAAGTAGCATTAATAGTACAATGGTACAGAAATGTTTCTCAGATCCATTCCTGTACCTTAATAGGTACAGTTACCTACAGCTGTGTGTACAATTGGCAGATCATTGAGGGTACAGCCCCAGTGACTAGCAAAGGTACAATTTTTTCCTCTTTTTTGTCTAAGAGGGTAGGGCTGTCTCTTTTTAAACAATATTCAAACATTCGTTTGAACATGATGTGAAACATTTATATTCAAACTACAATTAATCCATTTGAATCCATTTTAATTTTAATGCGTCACTGTAGCCAATAACCGCATTAGACCATTAGTTGTGATTTTTTTGTTTGTTGTCTATGTAGCCCCTAAAAGGGTGGAAAATATATTTTTAATAGTTTTGTGTTCTCCTGCAATACTTTTGTGATTCCAGGGAAAAGTTTGTGTTTTTCTCAGAATGCTTTTGTGATCCGACTACACTTGCCCACTTGGTATTTGCTGCAACATGATGGCAAGGATAAACCTAAATATTACAGGAATGTCCTGTAAAGTGTGCTTTAAGCATTAAACCATGGGGGACAATGTAAACCATGTGCCTCTTTAATATTATTTGTTTTTATATGTATTTATTAATAATTGTACTGTGTCCATTTTGTTTTCTACTGTAATTTATTTATATTGGCTATTTTGACAAGTAAATTTCCCCAGTGTGGGATCAATAAATTTGTATCTCATCTCATCTTGTCTTATCTAATTTATTTCCTTATTTTGAGAATATTTTTTTCTGTCGACTTCACAATTTATTTGCCTGTACCGCTGAATGTTTTTCCCCTAGTATATTGGGAAAATTCACACTCTTAGCAATAATGTGATATTCATAAAAGGTTCCGTGTTCTTGTGAAATTGCTGGACTGGAGTCACACAGGATGGCATTGACTAGCAAAAGAGAAGTGGAACAGGCAAATTCAGTATTAGAGGGGATAAGAGACAGAAAGCCGTCCGTATCAGAAAAGGGGGATGGGTACAGAAGAGGGACAGAGGAGGGGAGAGAGACAGAAGGGAGGGGACATAAGAGGAGGAGTGGGATGGAAGGGGGGGAGGGGGACAGAAGAGGGACAGAGGAGGAGAGAGAGACAGCTGCTACACTAGCGCGCCCCTCCCTATATTTAGAGAGAGAGTGTAGGAAAAATGGCCAATGAGTGCTAAGCATATATGTGGGAACTGGCATAGAGAACGTAGGTCAGTCAATTGGGGTGTAGGACCATGCTGAAGAGCCACAATGGTGGGATCACTCTGTTGATCACAGGATTTGAACCGCCAACCTTCTGAGTCTCAACCCATAGAGCTGCCCCTCCCAACATTTTATGTCTTTAGAATTATTCTAAAATGTACAGAATTAGAACAAATAAACCTTTCTATGGGTGGGTGTGTCCAAATTTTTGACTGGTACCGTATATATTAACAAAGCCTCTTGCTTTATTTTGGTACTGGAACAATCAAACATAAATAAATCGTGCCATTGTTTTTAAATGTCAGTAAAATGGTCATGCGTATAAAAATATATGCAAAAAATATATAAAAATATGGGTGTAGAACACTTCTGCATTATTAAATCGTTCATCATTTTAAGTGATTTATCCAGAAAAGTAGCATGACCGGCAAAACTAAATTTAGACGGTAGAAAATCATTTTGACAAATACCGCCTGTGCGTTTAGTTTGATGTAATATATCAAAACATTTGCTCTGACTTTTTAGACCTTGAGATTTTTAGATCTCTTTTTGTACTCCGCTTTTACAATACTGTAGAATAAGACACGAGAACCACTGAGTATTATTTAGTTTAAACTCGTTAAACGAACAGACAAGCAATCGGTTTCCTACTCTTCTCAAAGGTTTGCGTTACTTCGCAGAAGTTTATGAAAAGAAACGCCTTTGTTGCAGTTAACTGGTACTAGAATAAATAAAATTTGCGCCGAAATCACATTATTCGTTAACGGAGTAAAGGTTGTTCTTCCAAGGAAGATCATGTTGATCAAATACAAAGACAAAGTAAAACGAAAGCCAAGAGAATCTTATTGAGGAATAGGCTACATTTCAGGAATACAAATTTTATAAATTAAATGATTTCTCACCATGTACTGATATGTTGCGGTCCGATTCTTCGCCCGGACACTTTTCCTCCGCTTCCGCTAATAATTGCTATTTTACAGCGTCCCTCATTATTTTCTGAACTTTTGCTGGAATGCAGTTTGCTTTAAATTAATGGAAAGCCCAGACGCGCACTCCCCGTTATTCCGCAAAAGCATCCGTCATTTACTTCTGTCCGGGTATGAGGCGCCGCAAATTTCTGAGCCGATCGCTTCCCCTTTTTCGGGGAATTATTGGGAGGGGGCGGCGAGCGTCATGCATCTCTGCCGTCGTCAGGTCTTCTAGTAATACATTCATTCAGCGTGTATGGGTGTACAGTTCATTTTAACACACTTAAATAAAGCTTATTCAGATCCTCCAGCTTTAGTGTTTCACTTTAAAATTTTTAAGTGGGCATCACTTATAGCTTATAGTAGATGCTATTACAGTAGATAATAGCGTCATTAAATACTATTTCTTGAATGCAGCGCTCTCGGAGATGCGGTCTTAATAACAAATATAAAAACGTAAAATAAATTAGGCGAAATAGTTAAAAAGATGAGAGAAGTGGCCTATATTTCCATGAATACTTGATAGGCTATACAGTAAGGGATGCCATGGCTATATTTCGGCATGTAATTATTGAATATAAATCTTCTCACATAAGTTCTCAGTGCTTTTGAAAGGTATGTATTAATATTCGCAAAACTTTTAAACGATCACCAAATTTATTTTGAGTGAATGGCATTTACAGAAAACGCCCCTGAAAGCTCCCAAGAGTATTTGGTTGCTCTTTGACATGTTCATATCACACCTGAAAAAGATTTGAAAAAATATTATGAATGGCTTCTCCTCATTCCGACAGCTGTGTGCAGGCACTCAGAATGCAGGTGGGGTATTTCTTAAATGTTCCATAATGTATCTTACTGATGCTTCTGGGACCCCCACCAACCTCGACTGACATCCACACCTTGCTGCGATGTAAGGGCGCTGTTACTACATCACGGACGCTAGAGGGCGGTGGCGGGTGTTGATTTACTTTTGCTTCTCGGAATCTAACCAAAATTTACTAGGCTACAAAAGTCACCCAGCTGCATACTTATCTGGATACCTAGTTAAGTATCAAGGGTACAAGAGTAAATGCTCACACATACAAGTTTTCTTTTTGTGTTTCGTTAAGCATTGAGAAAATGCTGTTTCATTGTTTTGCTGCCAGAATACAGTCAGTGTCCAGTTTACTGTGCAGTACAGGCTGCTTCTCCAAAAGTAATTATGTGGCTGCAATTGAATATATATGGTATGCAGATAGGGTCAAGAGGTTTACATTACTGTTCGATTGAATGCTGGAATATCTAACTCTATCTAACCCTAACCCTAACCCTAACTCTAACTCTAACCTGATCTAAGTGAGGCAGTAGATCAGGGGTGTCAAACTCCAGTCCTGGGGGGCCGCAGCCCTGTGTAGCTTAGTTCTTTCCCCCTTTCACCACAAATGATTCTGCTCAAGAGCTGTGTGGTAATTAGCACAAGTTGAATCAGGTGTGTTAAATGAGGGTGAACCAAAAACTGTGTAGGGCTCCGGCCCCCCAGGACTGGAGTTTGAGACCCCTGCAGTAGATGGTGCTGAAAATAAAGGTTCCAGCATCTCAGAAACAGCCACCTTCCTGGTATTTATGCATTACAGGTTTGCAGAGAATTGTGTGATGACCAAAAAACATCCTGTCAGGGGGTAGTTCTGCGGCCAAAAGCACCTTGTTAATGAGAGGTGTTAGAGGAGAACGGCCAGACTCATTAAAGCTAACAGGAAGGCCACAACTGGAAAAATAACAGCTCATTTTAACAGCAGCATGGAAGAATGTGCTTCTGAATGCACAACGCATCTGCTCTTGTACATTGTCTTGTGCACAAGTTTGGCAGCTGAGAAAATGATCTAAAAAATGCTCGACAGCTACATTAAACCTACAGATATAACTGCGCTCACTCTCTAGAAAGAGTGTTTGAAAGACAGCTATGACTCTGCTGCACATGCACCAGCCGCTTCACACCTGCAGCTGGGGATGAAACCAAAATAGGGGTGTAGGTGTGAACAAAACGTTAAAAAGGGGAAGCTTCACGCTAAGAATGATACATGCTAATTTGCCTTTCCTTTACTACTGGTATCACAAAGACAAACCTTTATAACTAGTTGAGTTTAGAAATTACTCCTTCAGAAAGTTGTAAAATGATTAGTCTTTGATTGGCTCATGTAAGTAATCTAGTACAATATATACTGTACAGTACAACATGCTGTGAATATACACAATTTCTAATTTACTTAGAGAGTACTTCCAGCCAACGAAATTTATGCAGCAACATTTTCTAGGGCTAGATATCAGTCTCCCCTCCAGGGATTGGGTAGTTTAAGTTTTGTACACCATTTCAATTAATTAATTATTCATTTTCAATTAATTCATTATTTTAGGAGTTCCACATTTTCATTGTCTGCATCCCAGAACTAAATGCAAATATAGGCATTGCATGCTTCATGCAGCAGCTGGTGACTGGGCTCCAAGGAGGGGATGTTGTCATTTGTGCAAGATGTGTGCATGATCATTCACGAGTTTCCTCATCTATCCTAGCGTGTGCATTTAAAAAATGCTAGCATTCACATTTGATTACTTCCTCATTCCCTTCAATATCTGTTTCTTAGCTGACGTATCAATCCCAAGCCAGTACAAAAGCAAGTGACCTGCTTCGTAATTCAAGAACTTTCCGCACTCTAGTTCTTAACAGATAGACTAGCCAGTTTCCTTAGACATGCGTTGCTATCACCCTGTTCTTTCACTGGGTCTCTCAGGTCCCACAGCACCAGACTCTCTGAGTGTCCTTCACATTTAATTTATGTACAGTATTTAGCAGACACTGGGAACCTGATCCACGGAGGAGTTTTCAGCATGACCTCTCAATTAGCCAATAACAGTGGGTCCCCAGTACTGGAGTTGAGAACCACTGCATTATTATTGGCTGATCGAGAGGTCATCTCATCTCATTCATTCATTAACCTTTATTTTACCCGGCAAAGCATTAAGAACAATTTCTTATTTACAATGATAGCCTGGCAAGTACCAGAACGCACTTGTAAAACAAAACAACAAAGTTAATAATATATAAATAAAATAAAATAAAACCCATATCAGAATGATTAAATAAAATTAGTAAAAACATTTAAAACATCTTTAAACAGGACCAAATGCATCATGCATGTCTTGAACCAGAAAAATTGGGTGGGACTGTTGATTGACACTGATAGTGTCAATGATAAGTGAGGTTACTGTATGTCGCAGCGCGTCATGGTGTATTTACAGCAGACTTGGCAGAAAAAAACACTAGTTCCTTTTTCTTTTTTATTTTCTCTGAGGCTGACTTTTTTGTCTATCTGTACTGACACTATGGTTGCCAGCCATCCCTTTTACAATATGGCGTGCGTTCCTCGCTGGGATCCTCCCGTATAGTATGGGAGGCAGAAGTTTATTTTGCAATGCAAGATGATCCCGTATTATATAAGAGACAGCTGGCAACCGCTAATGTCAGTACAGGATTACAACCATACTTATCCTTAATGCATGGAGCATGTAATTCATGACATATGTACAGCAAAAAAAAAAAGGCAGTATGAAAATCAGTAATTTTAAACAAAATTTAAAGTGCACTTAAATCACTTCTGTTTCCCCAACAAGTTATTTGAAGAACATGCCCTAGAGGCAGCACGCAGATAGACAAAAAAAATCAGCCTCAGACAAAATAAAAGAGAAAAAGGAACTAGTGATTTTTTCCCAAGTTGGCTGTAAATACACCATGACGCACTGCGACGTAACGTCACTTATCATTGACACTATCGGTAGTGTCAATCAACAGTCCCGATTTTCGTGGTTCAAGACAACCCTAATTGAGATATCTAATGAGATTCACTTTGAAAACTTTCTAGTGGGCCTACATACTGCTTTCTACAAAAATCTCCCACTGCTACACGAGAGCATTTATAGTTGTGATAATTCTCCATAAACAAAAATGGAAATCACCAGTCAGTGATACAGTGGTTAGGTAAAAAGACAAAGTAACTTGCAAAAGCAAATTTTGCGTGTTAATGTGCTTGTCTGCACGCTAATTTTCATTTTGCATGCTGGTTTGGGCTCATTTATATTCATGAAACTGTCCGATTGGCTGGTGAACATGCTCCCATTGACATGTGCTGCCTATTTTTTCAGGGTAGTTCAGGAAAACATTAATATTCATGAGAGAAGCTACCTGGTTAGGCTGTGAACACAAAAATTCACTCTCCGCATACGCCGTGCATTCGCGCATCACACAGTGTGTCTGTTTGCGGGGGGAGGTTCACGTTGAGAGGTTCACTTACCTTGGCAGTGACATTCCTGTCTCTGGTGACTTCCTATTAAATCAGTAAATGGATTGGGAGAGCATTAGGGGTCATGGGGTCGCTGGAATGGAATGTTTTGCTGTATGGCTGCAAGACATGGACTCTATCCCCTGACCTGAAATGTAGACTGGACTCCTTTGGCACTGTGTCTCTTCTGAGAATCCTTGGGTTTGACTTTGTGTCGAATGAACAGTTGCTTAGGGAGTCCCTAATGAGGCACATTACCCGCATTGTGAGGGAGTGTCAGTTACGGCGACTCCCGGAGGGTGATTTGGCTCGCAGGATCCTCATTGCTGAGGATCTGAGCTGCTGGACCAGGCCAAGGGTACACTCATGTAACTGGCTATGGTAGATAGACAACCATTTCCAGAGGGTGACCTTGGACTGCGCATCGGCCTGAGTCATCTTCCGGGATCCTGAGATGTGTGGTCGTCAGGTGGGCGCAGCAACACGCTGTACTGGTGCATGTTCCTCAATCTGACCTGACCATATACTCTCCTGACATTATACCACATATGTTCTGCCCTTTTTCCTACCTGACAAAAATTGCTTCCAAGCACTATAGCAGGGGTGGCCAATCTAACCCGCAAAGGGCTGGTCTGTATGCAGGTTTTTGGGATAACCTTTAGGTCAGCTGTTCAAACCCAGGTGTGAGGACTCTTCAGCCAATCAGTCCTCTAATTAGTAATATAATTAGGGAGTTGCAGCAAAAACCTGCATACACACCGGAACTTGCGGATAAGATTGGCCATCCCTGCACTATAGCATGTAAATCGACATTACTTCACACATCTACAATGTCTGAAAATGTTTGCTACC